TTTTAGGGAAATATGACATCATGAATTCTATTTAGGGAAAATTACAAAAATCTTTGTAACTTTCTTTGCAATCCACCCCCATCAATTTTTTTATCGCAACATTTACCCCAAAATAATTTTTTCTAGCAAATATCCCGTTTTAAGGACCAAAATGCCCTTACTCTCTGCTAACACCAACTAAACTTTTCCCATAACACACAAAAAGGCAGTCTGGCACTATAAAGAAATGGTTCGGCAATATGCAAAAGTGGTCTGGCACTGATAAAGAATGGTTCGACAATTGGCTTATGCGGTCTGGTACTGCCAAAGAGCGGTCCGGCAACATGCCTAAAGTGTGGTCCGGTAATGTCAAAGAGTTTTCCGGCACCTTTTTTAGTTTAACGTGGTCCGACAATTGGTACGTGGTGGTTCGATAGCCCATATAAGCTCAAGTGAATGTCGGGAAAATTTTAATTTTTTAAGTTCGAAAAAAGAATATTTTTGTCAAAAAAAATTGTCTTTTTATTTTTGGGGGGTATTTGCTAGGAAAATATATTTTGGGGTAAATGTGGAAAACAAAGGTTTGGTTGGAGGTAAGTTGCATAAGTAATCTATTTATCGGATTTATTTGTAATTTTTCTTTCTTTTTATCAAAAAAAGATTGTAAGCATTACGCTTTTGAGCTATCCCTCATGGGAAAGCTTTCTATGTTCTTCCTACAACATAGAAGTTCTATCACCCCTTTTATCCAACCTTCCATTTTTTAATGGAGGGTTAAGATTGGTCCAATCACAATGTCACGTCTCTACACTATTTTATTTTTAATTTTTTTTTATAAACTATTTTGATACCTAATTTTGGATATCCATTCCTCTATTAAACTCACACTAACGGAAAATATAAAAAAAAATATTTTCAATAAAATAAAATGATCAAAATACCCCTTAAAGTTTTAAGGGATATTTTGATCATATTATATTTTATCGAAAAATTATTGTTAATATGTTTTATAGGTACGCTCCAATGAGAAAATGGCACGTACTAAATTTCATATTCAGAAAATTTGTATTAAAAAAACTAAAAATAAAATACTTTGAGACATCGGATCTAATATCAAACGGTGAGTGACTCTCTTGACTGAAAATGGACGGCTAGATGGTAGGGAGAGGATAGAACTTGTATGTTGTGGGGGAACATAAAAAGCTTTCCCATTACTTATAATGTGTTTTTTTTATGTTTCTTTGTTTGTATAGGAAAAAAACACAGATGCCCATCGTTATTTCCTTCTATTTGGAGGAGGAACAAGACACTGCCCGGGAAAAGAACTGGGCACAGTGGAAATTGCTGTCTTTCTTCACTATTTTGTCACAAGATACAGGTTTGACTCTTTACTCCTTATGGGTATGAATATTTATTAACTATTTATTTTCCCTTTGATTTTAATATCAAATTTTAATCTATGGATATTTGTGAAACTTTAACTGAATTATTTGTCAAGAATATTTTGGAAATGTATATGATGAGATTATTTACTTTCGATAGATACAAGAAGGTCACAATTATTGTCAACCGTTGGATGTGAAATTGGATGGGTCATGGTGCGTCACTAATTGAGCACAAAGTCTAAAATACATTTTTTCGCTGTGATACATTTTAATATGTTAGATTTTACATCCAATTGCTAAGAAAAGTTGTGACCTCTAAATAAAAATAAATGTTCTCCTAGTATACAATCACAAGTATTTTTAGCTATCCCAAATATTGATTTATTATGTTCTTTAACTAATTACTAATCCAATTATTCTTTTCAGGTGGGAGGAAATTGATGGGAATAAAATACTCAAGTTTCCAAGAGTTGAAGCTCCAAATGGGCTCAGAATTAGAATTTGGGAGCGCTGATCCTCCTTCATATTATACATCCATAGGCATTAGAATGATTTCTTTACCTTATTTTCTCCGTTTTTCAATTTTTTTGTGTTTTCATAGAAATGCTATGTATAATCAAGTTAATGAAAGAAAAATTAGTTTCACACTTTTGTTTCTTCATTTTCCATGTCCTTTCCTTTATCAAATATTTGTGGAGTACTGGTCTAGAGCCCATATAGAAGTTTTGGGTCAGGGCCGTCATTAAAATCAATTTTTCCTGCATATCAACAAAACTTTAATTCTTTGTTATTGTTTCTTGAAAAATGCGGTGTAAAATTCCATGCAGTTTACTAAATTGTATTCGACATGCAGTTTACTAAATTGTATGCGACATTTGAGTTGATGTCAAAATAAAGTCTTTTGATATATGTAAATACCAACAAGAGGTTTCATGCTGTTGGTCTCATTATCTGCTCAAACCAGGTTTTAAAAAATCGGGTCGGCACCGAGTTTCCCCGGACGACCTAGGACTCGGTCATCACGTGGCGTTTCTTGTTTAAAATAGGAAATCAGGTGTGTCTAGAGGCGAATCAGCGATTTGTAGAGATAACTTGGCGAGTTGCTACAGTGACATGGGTGAGTCGACCCGGTAGCATGCCTTTCTAATGTAAAACCCCATGATTTCATAGACTTTCACATAAAAAGACATTTTTTTATCGAAAAAGTTGTAAAAATCAAATTTTTTAGCAATAATGGAGGGGAATAACTTTTTAAATCCATAAAGCATCGATTGGGCTTGGATCGAACACAAGAGAACAAATTTCGTGAAATATTTGATGGAAATTTGGGGATTTTTGAGCGGACTAGGGTTTTGTGCCAAAACTTAATTTCTATGGTTTTCTTCATCAATTTGGTCCATTCTTTTTGCTGAATGATCATGGTAGTACATGCTTTTATCAAAATCATGACCATAATTTGTTGTTTTATATTTTAATTTTACAAATATTTTTAAGCTTGTATTCTTCCCTTTTTTCAACAAAAAATTCATCAAAATTTGTTGTTTTTTGATGAATAAGGGAGGTTAATCACTTTTTAGGTCCATCTAACATCAATTAGGGTTGGATTGAACCCAAAAAAATGCCAGATTATAAGTTTCTTGATTGAAATGTGGGGTTTTTTTTTTGTTTTTTTAACAAATTAGGTTTTTCCGTCCAAACTTGATTTTTGTGGTTGTTCTTCATAAATTTGATCCGTTTTTTTTTTTTTGCTGAATGATCATGGCAATACAGGTTTTCATCAAAATCAAGTAACATGATTTGTTGTTTTATATTTAAATTTTACGAAAGAAAATTTTTAGCCCATGTTCTTCCCCTTTATCAGCAAAAAAATTAATCAAAATTCATCGTTTTTTATGAGTAATGGAGGGAAACACTTTTAAGGTCCATAAAACATTGATTGGGGTTGGATTGAACCCCAAACAAATGCCGAATTGTGAATTTTTTGACTGAAATTTAGGTTTTTTTTGCTAAACTTGATTCTGCTAAACTTGATTTTGCTAGATGTGTCCAAACAAGGCGAACTGGTTTGAGGTAGCTAGTTCACCAGGTGGAATAGGAACCGATAGGTTAATAGTTCAGTCACCCAAAACGGTGTTTTTAAACAATGATGAGCGGTGATAGAACTGAAAATCAAAACAATCATGCCTAAATGGCGTGATATAATCAAAATTTATAGAAGGAGAAAAGTTTATATAGAGCCGAGGCTCTAAACAATCAAATTTGAGCCTACCTAAAAGATTTCACAAGAAGAGGTTGTTTTGATGCCTAAATATCATCAAATTGATCATCTGGACATCAAGATACATGGACATCAGAAAAAAAATGGATTTCAAGTTTTAAAAATACTGTGTTTTGCAATTCATTTTTTTTATCGTCAATTTTCAAGATTTGCAAGTTTTCATAGATTTATCAATCTACACTAATTTTGAAACTTTAAACTTTATAAATAAATATGAAAAATATATTTTAAGGCCATCACAAAGATTTCCTATATTGAAACCACATTTTTGGACACTATTTGAAAGTAGGCTCTAATTTGATTGTTTAGAGCCTAGGCTCTATACAAACCACACCCTTATAGAAGTCTTAGTGCTTTAGGAAAGTTGGTTTCCATTGGCCTATTTATTTCCTGATGTTATGGTGATTGAATTTTTCTTCTAAAGGACTCTAATGTTGCAACATTAAATGATCAAAGTAAGATGTACCTCCAAACTTTATCATAGGATGCAATTTTAGGGTTGAAATTTTTAGGTTAGTTCAAAATTCTATTTCCATATCTAAATATAAAATTTCAAATTCAAAAAAATAGTTCGAATTAAGTAGATCTACAAACACAATGAAAATCTTGAAAATGGACCTTCAAGATAATGTATTGTAAGATGTACTTTTTTAGGATTTGAAATCATTCCTTTTTTTCTTAAAGAAGAGTCTTCGGAATCCTTGAACTTTTTTATTTTTTATTTTTGTGTTCTACAATTATAATTTTGGTTTTCCATTCACTTGCATTGAGTTATGCATATCTTATATATGGTAAACTGGTAATTGTTATTTTGAATTTTGGTCTTTTGCCTCGCTGACAAAACCACAGTACTTGATATCGCATTTGTTACAACTTGGCCGCTGTTATATAATAGTTATTACCTCATGTCGGACCGTTATCATCCATTATATAATGCTTCTATCAACACATTATACTCTTTTTAACTGAAATATCGATGCCACATGAATATATTCATTCTCAGACTAATATGTGATTGCACAGTTCAAAAATCTTCAATTTTCAATAAAAGAGGAAATCATTCTCAATATTTTCTCATATAAATTGGATATCCCTGAATTTGGATGCATATTTTTTAAGGAAAAGTATGCAATGCGATCATTTATCTTTGACACAAGGTGGTCAAAATTAATCTTGACCATTGATAGCTGTATTTATTCCGTTGACCAAGCTCAAACTTCAAAAGAAATTTTCATGAACTTTGTGGCATACCCAAACTTTCAAATTTCACATCGGATGGTTCTACATAATTGTGACCACCTTGTATCAAAGATATATGGCTCATTGTGTACAATCTTTCTTTTTTAACTAGCTTTCTTTTTTTGGTATTTTAAATGGGATTTCCCCAACTTGAGGAATGCCAATACTTCCTCTCAGCATGCCTTAATTCAAGTCTCAAATACTGCTCAAAATTTCAAACTACCCTCTACTGATAGAACTATAGAAATAGCTTTTATAAGGTAATCATGATTTGCAAAGGCACTCTGAGAATACAAGTTTACTAATAGTAATTAGCTTATGCAAAAAAGAAAGCTGAAAAGTAAAAAAAAAACAGTTGGATAGAAATTAAAGGAGCTAATGAAATAAAATTTAATAAATTAAAATTAAGATAGAACATAAAAATATTAATCTTTAATGGAATATTTTACAAATTTCTTTTAACCAATTTCTCTTGGAGCTTCGCATAACAAACATGCAATTAGCTATTGTTGACTAAATTAATTATGATGATTAAATTTTCACCCATCAAGTTTTAGAAAACAAAAAAAAGTTTATATAAGGTTGCCGCTTTACTTGCGAAATAAAGGTGGCAATAATCTACACTATCAATTTTAGGAAAAATTAAAAATGGATTAGAAATATTTTCTATGAAGTCACGCCAGTTCCTCATCCCGCATGATTCTCTTTTTTTTCTTTTCTTTTTTTCAGTTTTGCTCCTCCATTGATTGTTCCTAACATCAGAGTGATAGGAATCTTTTGATCTTTTATTGTTGTTATGATTCAGGGCTATCTAAGATCTTAGATAGTAAACAACTCAATCTTTGGGTAAGCCAGATGCTAGAAACATAAGACAAACCTAAACTAGTACTTTAACCTACATTGGCATTATTCACTATCACAAATATCGGACCACTTCACACTTGAATTCTTTTAGTTTTGAAGTGTCTGACTTTTGTGATACCACGCTGTAAAGCTTGTATTAACCTAAGGGAAAATATTATTGTCTCGATATTAAGGACATCAGACCTCTCTCTAGTTAGTCCAGGGATCAGTTTGATGTTGTCAACATCATACTGCGAGGGGTAAAATTGACAATAATAAAAAAAATAAAAATAAAAATCTGTTCTTAAGAACATCGAATTGAAGGGTAAAATTGAAAAAAATAAAAATCAAGTCAAAAAGAGGCCTCGGAGTAAATTCACATAAATTATAAATCATCATATAATGTTGAAAATATCTTTTGGTTCGTATGTACTTTTCCCTCAACTTCATTTAGATGTTGTGAATTTGCCTTTTTGTTAAAAAAAAGTGTGATTTTTTAATATTGTTTTAAAAAAATATCGAAGCTACATCATCTAACTAAAATCAACTAAAATTAACAGTTTAAAATATTATATTGTTATTTCTTTGGGGAAAGTTATTGGCTTTCACAAACCAGAAAAGAAAACTACCTAATCTTTAATATTTCTGAGCATTAAAAATTGTGATATCTATAAAAACCAGGCATAAATCTTCATTGTGATTCCATTCGTGGGTCATATTTAATTCACAATACTCTTTAGAGCTGTACTGGACCTTGCCTTTTCTACATCTCATTGTATACCTTAAATTTTTTTCTTTTTGGAGCTGTATCGAATAAATGATTTTCTGCCTATTGCTCTTCCACCTTGAAGTTCTTACATCTTTTCCAAACTTCACTTGATATAAATTAGAATTGCCTATTTTCCATCCCACTTTCTCTACTCAATAAAAAGCCTACATAGAGAAATTAGGATATAAAGTTAACACCACAAAAAATACAAGAAAAAATTTATTTAAGGTTGACAACTTAAAATATCCAATTAAGGTGCACTACTAAAATCTTTTAGTAAATGTTGTTTTGATGTCGGAAAGACATATTATTGATCATTTCCACATCGAGATATATAGATATAGAAAAAAAATTAAATTTCAAACCCCAAAAAATAGTACATCTTGCAACACATTATTTTGATTGTCCTTTTTTGACGTTTCATGCATTTATAGATCTGCTTAATTGAAAATAATTAGAGATAATATTAGATTTTTGCATCATCCTAAGAATTCTCAACCCCAAGATTACATCCAGTGACAA